AAAACATTATTTATTAATGAAGCATGCAGTATATATACAGATATGTCCGAGTGAGGCGGTATATAAGATAAAGTTAAGTAGATATAGCCACTATTAGCGCAAATACGAATGCACTTAAATTCTACGAAGTGTGCATGCGAAACATCGACTTCTTCAGATGGAATTGAAGAATGAACAACAAACAAGATCCAAAGATTTCAAATTCGCTATTGAATATTTCACTATTAAAAATGTGGGGCTTTAACCAAGTTTCTGTGAGAGCAATGATTTTAGAATTATAATTGACGCTATTTAAATACAGATCGGAAAGTTTTGTATTAAGGCCTCTTGCATTTTGATAATAAATACTCAGCRAATTATTGCTAATCAGTTTTTTGTATCAACGGCTTTTCTTGGCTTCTTGCTCAAATTCGCGCATAAAGACCCCAAATGGCCAGAATGAGTTGTCAAGAGCCAATTGAAAATTGTCAGCGGATATGTCGATCTTGAAAGATGAAATATCCCTGTCATATTTGATATTAAATTTTCGGATGTCTGCATCTTCCGATTTTAGTTTCGGCGAGATATAACTCTTTATGTAATCGACGGTGGTATCCGCAGCAAGTTTTGAGATAAATATTGCTTTTTTCCGCGGTATTACAATTACATTTTTACTACCTGACCTATTCCTTATTTGGAAGCGGATCCTGAAAAGGTTTTCGCTTACCATGCTTTCTCTGTATTCTGAGCAGACGAGACCTTCTCTCCTTGTGGTCAAGGGGAAGAAAGATTGATTAGGTCAATATTGGGTGGAGGCATTCTTTTTAAGGAAGAAGCAGTGGTCTCTTCATCAGATGGACGTTTATGTTTATTGGAAGGTTTTGGATTCTCTTCCTGGCCATTCAGACATTTAAATAATTGAAACAACGTTTCATAATGCCGGAATTTATTTGTAAGGGTTTCGAGCTCACGGCCAATTTCCTTGAAATTATTGCGCGCCTGCTTAAAAACTTTAAATAAGTTGAGAGAAGCACGCGAAATGCATCTTTAAGTTGAGCGATTTGTAATCGTTGCTCGGGTGTAAGTCTTTCCATGATGAAGCGCCAGACCAGGGATGAAGGGATGCCCAACTTATTCCAGTGTGAGAGTTCCTCAAAATAAGCGTTTTTTATAACATTTTCCATTGTGGCCAGATCGAACAAAATAAGAATTTTTGGACATTTTAAATAAAAACACCCAACATTTATTACGATTGATTATTATTATATACCGGACTTTTAATATATGGCGAAATTACTTAAATATTTTTTTATCACTTTATGGTATATTAAAACAACTGACTTTTGATCTTTCAATACGTAATAACGTGAACTAAGTCTATTAGTTCTCAATTAATAAATGGTTTTAATCATTTGTAACTGAAAATTAATTCTACTATGCATCAAATTGTAAAACGTTTCATGAAATATATTTAAATTTCACATTTTCTTTGATTTCCATTGTTTTACATTTTTTATTAGCGATCTTGACTGGCGACAACAAATTCCTCCGTTCACATACATAATTTGTATAATATATAATTTCAATCTGGCCGTTCCAGTCATTCTAATTGCAAAACATCAAAAGCTACCCAATCCAGTCAATTATCAAAGTTCGGTAGGTGAGCGGTTCTCACATTTCCAGTGACAGGAGAKTTGGGACTCAAACAGAGATAAAGAGATGCTTAACTCCTCTCTCACTGGAAGTGAGAAAGCAATTGCTAAACGTCAAAACCTACTGAACTTTCACAGCTAATCGAGTTCAGTAGGTTTTGACATTTATCAATTGGAAACGAGCGATTGCCAGATTGAAATCTTATCAAAAAAGTATGTAAACGGAGGGATTTGTAGCATCGTTCAAGACCACTTATAAAAAATGAAAAAAATGCAAATTAAATAAATTTGTGAAATTTAAAGGTATTTGATGAAACATTTTGTAATTTGAAGCATCATAGCATTATTTTCAACAGAAAATGATTAAAAACATTTAATGATTGACAGCAAACAAGCTGAAATTCTTTTATTGGGTATTGAAAGGTCAAAAGCCAATTGTTCTAATATACTTTAAAATGTTTCAAATAGTTTTTCCATATAATAAATAACCACAATATAGTAATTTTTATTCGTACTAAATGTTGGGTGTTTTTATTTAAAATGTCCAAAAATTCTTATTTTGTTCGATCTGGCCATAATGGAAAATGCGATAAAAAAACGCTTATTTTGAGGCGCTCTCACATTGGAATAAGTTGAACATCCCTTTATTCCTCACTCAGGTATGATATGTCAAAATAACGCTATTGAAAAAGTACCTCTACTTGGATCACGCGTTATATATTTAAAACAAAACCAGTAATATTTAAGCMTAATTTGTGATCAACAAAAATAATATCAATAATGCTGATGTGATAATACTATGCATAAAAAACACATATCCAATCTTCCTGATTGCAGTTTGAAAAGCTTAAAACTTTTGACAATTGTTTGCATTAGTTTAATAAAATAAATCTCTAATACACATTATTTCTTATAGGCATACTTTGCATATTTTGTCGCTACAAGTGAACAAATTAATAATTTCTGCGGTTGACTTGTCCACTTAGTCACTTCAAAAGAACTACAAGTATATCAAAGCACCATTAAATTAGAGAGAGGTCCGCTAAATTATGAACAGCTGTCAAACATGTTTATTAATAAATCTAATATATAATACATCTAGAATAAAGCTTATTCTATTTAGTTTACAACAACATATAGATTTGTTATAGCATGCGCTTCTCATAACTTTTTATAAACTCGTTAGACAGCATTAGGTAACATGTTCGCAWTCACATAAGGGTTAAACCAATTTTAGTGTATGATTCCATCTGATTTTCGTAAATTTAACCACAACTACCCTAATGCAAGCAGGAATTTCACGTCTCACTACTGACTCTTAAATTGTGCTCAATACTAGAAATTCCATAAGAAAACCTGTCCCCATCTTGTCTTATATCTTCTAAAGAAGGAATACATTTTAAACAAGTAAGGAAGGGCTAGGTTCGGGTGTCACCGAACATTTTATACTCTCGCATGATAAAGTGATATTCGAGATTTCAGCCTCGTCTTCAGTACTTCCTGAGATATAGTTTTTTTCCATAATTTCCATATGGAAATGCCTAAAAGAAACGACTTTATACAGTTTGGTTAACATATGTAGCTGTAGTAGTTTTCGAGATATGTACAAAAAAGTTAGTAGGGGGCGGGGCCACGCCCACTTTTCCAAAAAAATTACGTCCAAATATGCCCCTCCCTAATGCGATCCTTTGTGCCAAATTTCATTTTAATATCTTTATTTATGGCTTAGTTATGACACTTTATAGGTTTTCAGTTTCCGCCATTTTGTGGGCGTGGCAGTGGGCCGATTTTGCCCATCTTCGAACTTAACCTTCTTATGGAGCCAAGAAATACGTGTACCAAGTTTCATCATGATATCTCAATTTTTTACTCAAGTTACAGCTCGCACGGACGGACGGACATCCGGATTTCAACTCTACTCGTCAGCCTGATCACTTTGGTATATATAACCCTATATCTGACTCTTTTAGTTTTAGGACTTACAAACAACCGTTATATGAACAAAACTATAATACTCTCTTTAGCAACTTTGTTGCGAGAGTGTAAAAATATCTTCAATAAACATAGAAATAGCAGTAGAATTACAAATTATGCTATAACAAATTTTTGCTTTACTCACTTTCTGATAACTATTTTGTTTTTAGAATATTGTACAGGTTCATTTTAAAACTTGCTTATTACCTGAATATATTCTTACTCTTCTGACCGTCATTGAGAAATCCTCAACATACATAAGTATATAATATTTAAAAAGATACTAAAATATATATGTAATATCTACATATTAAATAATAWGTTTTTATTTCAGCAGTATGGTAATGAAAGAACGTCACACAACTATAACAAAGCATCATCAACGATCGCATTTAATTCTAATTAAAACCAGAACGAAGATGGAAAAAAAGGGAAACAAAAGCACAAACGTTGTTGGTTAATTTAATCATGCCAAAATATATCATTTAAGAATTTTATTTTGGGTGTCGGCCGCGAAGCCGGTTAGATTGCTTCTTTTCAAAACCTCTCTCTTATTAACTGGCTTAACATGTTGCTCATCGATAAAATTGCCATAACAAAAATTAATATTAGTGTATTTGGTGACGGTGAAGAATTCCCGCCAGCCATCAAACCATCCCAATCCTTACCATAGTAGTGAGTTTGCTCTGATATAAATAATTTCCACATCTGAATGTTAAACACAGTCAGTCGTCTACATTCATCGTGTGGATTAGAATTAGACAAGAAAGAATGGTAAGTATTGGGTCACATATATGTACGATAACAATGAAGTCAGACTTTTTTACTTATGTAAATTAAACTAAAAAAAATGTATTTATTTTCTTTGCAGAGATTACTATTAGCCTTTACTTTGGTGGCKGCTGCCACAGCTGATGTGTCCCACCTTTTTTCGCATAGCGATAACCTTCAGGATGATGGATATCACTACAATAAACCAAGCGGTGGAGCAATTGTAGACATCCCGGCTTCCCATAGACACTCTGCTTCAGCTCCTTCTCAATCAGGCTATCAAGGTGCTGCATCTTATCACTCTGGCTCATCTTATAGCGCTGGTGGAGCTCCTGCAGCCTCTTATGGATCGGTTGGGTCTAGTGGCTCTTCTTATCAAGCAGCTTCAGCTCCGGCTGCTGTTTACTCAAGTGGCTCATCTTACCAATCGGTTTCAGCTCCTGCTGCATCTGGATCATATTCGGGTAGTTCAAAGTACTACRCAGGAGCAGCATCAGCTCCAGCTCCTTCTTATTCACATACCCACCATGCAGCTCCCTCTGCATCGTCTTATCAAGCAGTTTCAGCACCCGCAACTTCTTATTCACAAGGCGGGTCTCACCAAGCTACTTCTGGAGCTCCTGCAGCCTCTTATGGATCGGTTGGGTCTAGTGGCTCTTCATATCATGCCGCTTCTGCTCCTGTTGCCTCGTATGGGTCATCTCATCAATCTTCTTCTGCTTCTGCTCCCACTGATTCCTATTCACATAGCTCGAGTCATCAAGCCGCATCAGCTCCAGTTGCATCCTATTCCGGCAGTTCATCTAACCGAGTTTCTTCAAATATTGGTGGCGCTGGTTCTTTCTCCAGCTCATCTTCTTCTGCTTCASTTTCGTCCCGTTTCGGTGCTGGSGCAAAAGATGAAAGTGGATACCATTATGAAACTCCCAAAACCCCATTTGAAAGTCGACCGGAACCTGTAAAAGAATATTTACCACCACCAGCACCAAAAAGGCCTCCACCACCACCGCCGCCAGCACCCAAACGTCCACCACCACCTCCGCCAGCACCTAAACGTCCACCACCACCACCATCTCCACCAAAAGAATATCTGCCACCCGCACCAACCAATAAACCAGCTCCTCCAGCGCGCCCTYCACCACCACCTCCACCAGCTCCAAARCGTCCACCTCCCTCACCACCAAAAGAGTATCTCCCTCCACCACCAACAAATAAACCAGCACCACCAGCGCGTCCTCCACCACCACCATCACCACCAAAAGAATATCTTCCACCATCCTCTGGACCAAAAGGGTACAATTATCCTAATGATCCACAGCCACCTTTCACCTCCTAAGCAAAATCAAATATCTAGCTAGCGAATAGCTAGCTAAAGAGACTCTATCTAGTATTAGTCAACTATAACATATATTTTTTGTTAATGAAGAGATTTCCTTCTACATCTTTTCCCTGTACAGCCCTAAGAAGCCGATAACATTTTAAATCAATAAAGTTTCTACATTGAAAATTATTGTCCAATGTTTTTCAATTAGCATCTGGTATCAAATAACACTCGTCAAAAAAAAAAAAAAAAAAAAAAAAAAAAAAANAAAAAAAAAAAAAAAAAAAAAAAAAAAAAAAAAAAAAAAAAAAAAAAAAAAAAAAACATATAATTAAATTCGGATGTAACCGAACATTTTATACTCCCGCAATTTTCAAATGACAAAGCGGTTAATATTTTCAGATGATATCAAAACTTTATATTAAACAAGTATGAAAGAGCGAGAGAGAGAAAATTAAAAAAGCTGTAACTTAAGTACACTATGATATAGCACAACTATAAATTCCACTAGATTATTTTACTTTGCAATACACAAATTATGGAGCAATTAATATAATGGAATTAAACTTCGCAAGAATAATGAATTTTGTGCTTGCCACTTTATGACCAAAAATTGTTCAAATCCAATAAAAACTGATCAAACCCCTAGGTACTGAATATTTGGACCTCAGTACAAGTCAACTGACTTTTGGTCGAAAATGTCGGTATATAAAACTGAAATTAAGGGATAACCCTTCTCTTATAATGCTTTAATGTTTGTATGTCAAAAGCATCGGAGTGACTTTCCTTACTTGTTACTCATGTTATTGTTTGGACAGACCGATAGTAATTCGAAATTCAACTCGTCTTGTCAACCTGATCTATCTATATCTATCTCGGTAAGTTTTTAGTGTTACAAACAATCGTTAGTTGAACAAACCTATTATATTCTCTGTTGCAACATGTTTTGAGATTAAGGTATCGTCTTCATAACTCCCCTTTCCTCCTTGCATTTATTCTATGCATTTGTGTTTAAAGCTGGAATCCAGAAGTTGTAAAGCATTACTGGTGTTACATTTCCAGCATGAGTATTGATTTATTCTCTTCGAGCTTCTTTTTAATTTGTTAGTATCTTCCCCTCGTATTTTTTATTACATTCGTTGCCTTTTAGATAATACTCTTATTGTAGCTTCCAATTTGCCCCTTCCAACACTTCCATTACCATTGTAGCTCCCGGTACATGATCTTATAAAAATCTGCGTCTTTTTCGCTTCGCTTCACACCTTTGCAGTACTTAAACGGAAACAAAACATTTTTGTATTCGCTCTTTAATACAAAGCGTCAGGCAAAAGGTACACAGTTCTTTGAGAGTAGTTAATGTGCATATATAAGGCAGTGTATTATGTAACATAAATTTTATATGCAATAAAAGCGGAGGATTTTGTTATAATTTTGTGTTTAATTGTTGTTTATTCCAATTGAGTGATTTTCTGCTTAAACGTCATAATA